TATATATATATATACATATACACACAGATATAGATGTGCACAAACACACGTACTTCTATACTTAGGACACATATCTACCAATATGCATATGTAGGTTGGTACATACATGCAGATAAACGGCGTTACACGACCTGAGGACTTGCTTCCCTTAGATGCATCAAGACGCGAACCTGCCCGATGAAGCACTTCTCACTTGGTCTTCCATTGTTGGATGTGAACGCTGGTCTCTTCCTTCGCTGTTTCACCATATTTCCCAACCCTAAAAGCCCCAAGCCCTAAAACCTAAACCCACAACATTGTAAAGCGTGCAAAAATACCAACCTTATTCCTAGATCGGAGGATCACTGTCGCCCTTTCGCTGTTTGGTCTAGGAGGGGTACCTAGATCGCTATGGGCTTTTTATGGTTTAGGGTTTTTAGGGTATCGGAGGGCTACGGTCAGGGCTTTGTGTGCTTAGAGGTTTGAGAGTTTACGGATCTACGCGGTGCGTGCTAACTGGCCAATGTGCGAACACCAATGCAACTCGCCGGAAAATGCCAGAAACAGCATCGACTTCGGGTGAATTGCCGGGTCCGTGGCATTGTCGTTGCATGGAGATCGTGGCTGGGTGATGGTGGCATGATACTGGCTGCAACATCGATACTTAGCTTGCTCCGTCTTGCGCGGCAGTAGTTGTGGCTCGAAAGCAGAATGTCATGCAGCATCGCCGTTGAAGAATGTGCCCCGCATGGATTGTTGTTGTATAGCCCAAGCCGAACTCAAACCCTTTGAACACTTAACTCTGCAGCAGAGAGAATGGTGGCATCTGCGTGAATTGCGTGGCCCATGGCCCAGGACCGTTATTGTTGCTCAAGTGAAGTCTGTGCCAAGCATTGAGTATCTTCCCAGGCGAGGCAAGTAAAATCAGAGGGAACTCTGTGGAGAGCAATTTTCTGAATTTCAAACAGATACGGCCACGATTGAGCATCCTGAAAGGACGGCAATGTCAGCAGTGCAGCTGCGGAGCGTGAGCTCCGCAAGGCAGCTTCCTGAATTTGAAGCTGCCGTGGATGGGGTAAGGAGAGGTGACAGGTGGCAGGTTTCATGGACATGTGCAGCTGTGGAGCCGGAATTCCAGAGCAGCCAGTTTCGTTCAGTCTGCATGACTTGTACAGGAACAGATGCACGTAAATCGCCGAGTCACATAGGGCAGGCAAGATGCTAAAGGGTTACACTTGCAGGCTCGGCTGCAAGAGCTCTGTGCCCAACGCGCTGTGCGCCTCAAAGAGGAGTCGAGAGAGAGTTTGCTGCATGGTTTGGTGCCGGGAAGAGACTGGGAATGTGCTGTTTCGGGGTTACAAGAAGCCATGCTCTGACATCGGAAAAACGGTTGAGCATCAGTGCGGATGCCTGGCTCAGGTTGCAAGGCTTTCCCACGCAGTGAAGTCACACATGCAGTTCACCTCAGTCCGACCGCACGTGGATTCCGCTAACAAAATGGCTGCATGATATAGTAGTTGGAGCACGAGTACAGCATAGCATGTCGACATGTGCTCTGTGGGCAGACAAATCGTAGTCTTCGACATGATTATTATAGTCCTTCAGAAATTCGTCTCTCTCTGCTGATGTAGTGCTTCCTAGTGAGACCAGTTGCTGAATCGTCCGGAACCAAACAAGCGCAGGTGCAGGCCCGCGAGCAGGTTGCGCATGCCCGCGCGGAAGCGGAGCGAGAGCTTTGCACAGAGCGATGGTCCGGGTGCGGCTGCCAGTACAAAGCTGTGGGCTTCGGATCCCTGGAACGGCTGGAATTGGGGGCGCAAAGAAGGGTCAGATCTTAGACCAATTATGTAAATTCCGTGAGACCAATTCTTCAGCAAAGGCACGGTTGGTCGAGCTTCCTGAATCCACCAGTTTAGCAAACTGAGCATTCACCCGAGAGCCGCCCGAAGGCTTCAAATCGTCGACCGCCTCGTTCGCCAGGACATGGCCGTTTTGGCGTTTGCAGTATCATAAGTCTTGAGACCTTCCCAGATGCTTTCAGCAGCTTTCAGGCCAGTATCTGCGTGGGCATGCCGGTGTAGCCCAGTGTAGAACAAGCTCACGGCTCGTCCTATGATAGCAGCTTTGGCTGTTACCAGGACAAGTGGGATGCCTCCATGAAGGGCAAGGACCTTGCAAGCACCGCGAAGCAGGGGGTTCATCCAAACTAAAGGGCTGAGTACTGGGTGGGTGTGGGCATTGTTGTAGTATAGCAAGTAAATCTGGCATCAAAGAAGGTTTATCCATTTCGCTGGAGCAGTTGAACCTTACAAGCCCTTGAAGGTAATGACGGTTTCCTCATGACCCTCATGGCAAACAACCTCGCAGAAGTCTCCGGGTCAAGCCCTGAACGCTTTCAAACCCCAAGCCCCGCGAGCCTTGAAGATTTGCGGTTGACAGATGCAGGAATCCGGATTGTACCTGCGCCGAGCTTTAGGTTGCAATGGCCAAGATCCGGCCAACGCAACAACACAAGCTAAAGCACGTAGGGAATTGCAAGCGAGCCAGAGAGGCAGAGAGGGAGAGGAAGGATTGCAAGTTGACCTGGGCGAGGAACTGGTGCATCTTCGGCATCTCGCCAAACTGCCCAGCACCCAGTTTGTATTCTCGTTATGTTTAGTATCATTATTATTAGTATTGTTATTCGTAGTAGCAGTATGTCGTGTCCCCCTAGCCAATCTGCAAGCTTAGAGCTTCATCCATGCATCCGAGCACATCCGAGCAATGTCACAAGATCTTTCACATTGACATTCTTGGGAGGGGGCTGGCTGCTCAGCATGTTTAAGTCTGCTTGAGCAGGGATTGTTCCAGTCAAAGCCCCACATGAGCTTTCATATCTTCGTCAGCCTTTCGCGAGCTTTGCGCAGGCCAGTTTGCTTGACTTGCTGACACTTGCAAAAGATTTTCAAGCCAGTCAAGCCATGGACATAGCATAGTTTGCTCACGACCCTTGGAGCAAGCTCTGAAAATTGTGAAGTTTCCAATAGAATGAAGTCAGCCAGCACCGACGACAACACCCAAACGCTCCCAAAGCCTTACTTGCGCACGCATGCCACCAAACCCAGGTGCACGACACCTTCAACTCGGGCTCCACCTCGGCCCCACGTAACACTAGCTCAAACCAAAACCCGAAGCAACACAAACCGAAACCCTCCCTCACCTCAACCATGAATCCCCAATTCTGAGGCTCTCCAAGGACAGAGACAAGGCCGGAAGCCTGGTCTCTATCCGCCTTTCGCTTCGAGTTGCACCCGAGCTATTGCCTTGAGAATTTCCCAGGTCGAGGTAGAACCAAAATCTTAAACCCCCCGCCAATGTCTCACGCCGACTTCTGCACCTATGAATCCTCGCCTGGCTTGTCCGAGTTGTGAGGGTGTAAACCCTAAACCCGAAACCTTGTTGTGACATGGCCAATGCTTTAGAAGGACGAACAATATTCCACGGCCGAGGGAGCTTTCCTGTCAAAGGGTGGAACAGCAATCACAAATTAGCGACCCGCAGAGCAACGCAATCACGGCAACCGTAGCTATCACTACTCTCTGACTACTAAGTTCCGAGCCCTGCACCGTTTTGAGGTGGTCATCGCCGTCCTGGCCGCTGCCCCGAGGAAGCCCACGAAGAATGCCCAGGGCGAGCAAGTCATGGAGCGCGCCCGGGAGTTGAAGGGTCCCAGACTGCAAGAGTGAGACTTTCCAGGTATGGCTTCAATTGTTGTGGCAATGTATCTGGACTTGGAGGGGTAGTGTGAGGCAGCTTCGCTAGCTAGCTTGTTCCACCAGAAGTTCGGCACGAAGCGTTTTTGAGGATGTGCTGTCCAAGATGACAGCCTCTCCAGTCCGGTAGCATGCATCAGAGTGATCTGCGCTTGTGGCTTTGAAGCCCCTGGGCCTGGCATGCCACGGCCAAGCCATGGCCCACACCGGGTTTGTGAAGAGGCTGTTCAGTGATAGGAGGTATGGCTTCATCCACTCCAGTCCCTGGGACTCCGACGGGAGCGATGTTTATTTTCACTTCTCTGAGCTGGATTACGGAGAACACGTGGCCGAAGGGACCCAAGTGGCCTTTGACCTCGAGGAAGATCCCTGGAGTGGAAGGATCAAAGCCGTAAATGTCACCCAGAGGCAGAGCCGTGCCTGGGGAAGCGAGGAGAGGGGCCAATGGCCCAGTGGGGAGCCAAGTCATTCTGGAAGGGCTTCTGCCTCTGCTTGGGAGCGGACACCAGCGGACGGAAGCGCACACGAGTGGAATGATGGGTCTTCGCAAGGCTTCGCCACGGAGCTTCGGGCGTGGCTGTGCGGCCTCGATCATGGCAACGGGGAGATGCTGCGGTTTGCCGAAGCGATTTCCCGGCACTACGACACCTGGGAAGCATTGCTGGAGGGCTCCATCCAGGACGCCGATGCGCAGCCGGTGTTGCTGAAGGAGGACTTCCACTACAAAATCGGGCTCCTGGAGACAGGCCACACCGTCCGAATGGCCGCGGGCCTGCGAGATGTGTTGGACAAAGCCCCGAGCAAGAGCCGGGAAGCACATCCAGAGACATCGTTTCAGCCAGACTCTGGCAGAGAGGTCCAGCCACAGACCGAGGACTGTGACACGGACAGTGGGCCAGAAGATGAATCCAATGAAGGCTGCATCCTCATCTTCGTTTGCATCATGGCTCGGGGCGTTGAGTTGAGCTTGAGCATGCCTCGAGCTAGTACCGTCGGGGAGGTCATGGCCAAGCTGGAGGAGCTCGAGGGTGTAGAGCATGGCACCCAGCACTTGTTCTCACTGTCGCAGGCGAGGAAGCTCGAGCCCGAGGAAGTCGTGGCCGATGGCGCCCAGCTCTTTCTGTCGAGCCCTGAAGATGAGCGTATGCTGTCACTGCTTCCGGAGCACATCCGGCCCCACCTGAACCCGGCGTCTCTTGTGGATGTGGTGCTTGACTTGGACCGGAAGCCGGTCGTCCACGAGCGAGACGAGCAGGGAAAGCTGTACAAGCGCGTCCTCGATGCCTGCCCACTTGTGCAGCAAGACGACTTAGATGCCGCGGAAGCTCACGAACTGCTGGCTGGACGGTGGACCAAGGATAACCGCTCTGGCATCTCGGGCACTCTCCACAGGGTGGCCCGCATTGTGGATCATTACGGTGGACGAAGTCTGACTGGCCTGACGCTTCGCATGGCACATCCCATGTATGGCCTCGCAGAGAAAGTGCCACATCTGCGCAGAGTCATCGAGGATGGAAAGTCGCTGCTGGTCCTCGGTCCCCCCGGCTGCGGCAAGACGACCCTCCTGCGCGAGGTGGCACGCTCCCTTAGTGAAGAGTTCAATCGTCGCGTTTTTGTCGTCGACACCTCGAGCGAGATCTGTGGCTTCGGCAGAAGCGCGCATGTTGCGGTTGGCCGAACGACGCGAAGGATGCAGGTGGCGGACAGGAGCCTCCAGCACCAGGACATGCTGGAAGCAGTGCAGAATCACACGCCAGAGGTGCTGGTCATTGACGAGATTGGGAGCCAGGACGAAGTTGAGGCAGCTTGCCGCATCGGTTTCAAAGGCATCGCTTTGGTCGCCACGGCGCACGCAAACAATTTAAAAGAGGCCATTGACAATGTGGCTCTGCAGTCCTTGTTCGGTGGTTTTCAGACCAGCACAGTGTCAGACCAAACTGCCCAGCGTTCCGCCGACGGACGCAAGTTTGTGGAGCAGCGCCGCAGTGCGCCGGTGTTCAAGAGCCTGGTCGAACTTGGCCGTGGATCCGGCGACGAGTGGGTTGTTTACGAAGATTTGGAGGGTGCCATCGATTTGATCCTCGCAAGGAAGCCCGCTCAAGGGGTCCGCGTGCCTGCGCCCAGCACCCGCGGGCGGATTGCAAAGCCAACGTCAGGCCATCGAGTCGGCAGAGAGTCGCAAGAGCCCACGTTCAGAGTTTTCGGGGCCGAAGAGACTCGGGGAATTTTTGGGTCCTCCTTCCCGGAGCGCCGGGGCGGCAGGCTGGAGGAGTTGATGCCTCTCACTCCGGAAGCGGGTGCGATTGCACCGGATGAGCTGGAGGCCCGGAGAGCCATGCGAGATCGAGAAATTTCAGGTCGAGCCTACCGTTTGTGCTTCGACGGCGGCGTGGATGGTGGCGACAAAGGACCTGGTGGTGCGGGAGCCATCCTCCGTCGGCTGAGGGCCGGAACGGGCCATCCGGATCGGCGGACTGGGAGGACTTGGATGCTGTACCATCCGAAATCCTGTCCGGAACTCATGGAGTATGCTGGCTTGCTGATGGGTTTGCGTGGCGTGTCGCAGATTTTGCACACGCTGAAGCCGGCCCCGGAGGCGATCCTGATCGAAGGTGATTGCAAGCTTGTGGTCGACCGCCACAGTGGAGGTCGTGCGGCACAAAGCTTACGCAGTGAGCACCCCGACGTCGAAGCCAAGCTGGATGCCTTGGCAAACTTGGTGGACGAGGCCAGGCAGCAACTGGAGAGGCAGAACGTTACGCTCGACGTGGTGAGGTGGCGCAGCCGGACCCGGAACAAAGCGGCCGACCGGCTCTCGCACGAAGCGCGAGAGAAGCGCCTGAGCACCATCGAGCTGGACTCTGAGGTTTTGGCGCTTCTGAGAGCCTTTGAGGTCGGCCAGGTCCCAACTCTCTGGGAGGTGAGAGAAGCGCATCCCATGCTGCGCATCGCACAGGGCGCCGTGATCCACCCAAGGCAGCTTGTGGGGCTGGTGGGCCTCGAGCTGAAACCCGACTCAGCCGACGGGTCTTTCAGCCTTTCGGTGCGGGTGGACGGAGCTTGGGGCAAGGCTGATTCCTTTTCGCTGGGCCTCGTGCCAACTGGCACCATCGATTTTACACGTGCGCAGGACTTCGTCGCCGGTGAGGTTGGCTTCTGGTTCAGCCCGAAGTCGGGCACCGTTTGCGGGATGCTGGGCGGGCAAAAGGCCGAGTTCACACTGCCTTCCTTGAGGGGAACGCACCCGCGGTCAGCTAGTGACAAGAAGAAAGCGACTCTTCTGAACGGTGCCAGGTGGGGCATGACGTACAGGCGAGGAGGCCTTGAACTCTTCATGGCGATGCCGGATGATGAGCTGCAGTCACTGGGGCGCGTGCAGTGGCCCTGGGGCGAAGTGTTGCCGCACCGTGCATACTCGGCTGCGGTCCTCTTCAAGCCTAGGCGGGGTGGCTCTGGCTCTGTTGGGTGGCCCAGCGCCAGCCAGCGGCAGGGACTAGGTCCTTTACCTTTGAGGACATGTAGCAGCTGTAGCAGCGATGCTTACCTGACGCTTCTGGGAGATGGCCTTGGCACGTTTCTTTCGAACAAGGCTTCCTGGACGCTGCAGGGTTTTCATCCAGAGCTCGACTTCCTGTGCCGTGTGCCAGAGGGAGAAGCTCTGCATCTTCGGTGCTGTAGGAAGTGCTTGTCACTGCACAGCCGGGACATGGACACCGAAAACTTCCTTCGCGGCTTGGGAGACGAAGACCTTGCGGTCTGGCTCAGGCGGAGGCGCCAACAAGTGCTGGCCACTAATGACATTACCGTTGACCGTTTCTTCCAAAGAGTCAGCCCAGGAGTTGAGATCATTGGCAGGGCCATCCTTTTCCCGCAGACCTTGTTCGGATGCGAGTGGGTGCAGTTTCCAGCTGAAACCATGCGCCTCGCTGTGAGGCTCAAGGGGCAGTGGACAAACAGAGAGAGCTTCCTGCTCGGCATCACCCCTGAGGGGTGTAGCTTTGGAGATGCAACCATAGCTGAGATGGGTTTTTTCTTTTCGCCGCACAGTCTCAGCTTGATCGGATTGGATGGCACTAATTTCTCCTGGCCAGGCACCCTGGAAGAGGTGTGGTGCCAGCAGCTTGCAGAGAAATGCCGGGCAAGCCTTCCCAAGTTTGATGGTGGCCTGCATCTTGAATACCGAGAAGATGCTTGCTGGTGCATCGAAAGAACCGATACGAATGAGCTTGCCATCTTTTACAAGCCAGCCTATCCCGTCAGAGGCGTCGAAGCGCATGAGTGGGTACAGCTGGGCGTGGTGCCTTGGAAGACGGCGACTCTGAGTCAATGGAGGCAGTGGCATTTCACGATTGTCTTCAAGGCTGCGACTTCACTCCGTCGGGGCAGGGTGACCAAAGCCGGAAATCTTCACGAAGAAAAGAGAGAATGTCCTAATGATTATCGTGGCCCCTTTCTTGGCCACGAATGTGGCAACAAATCACAAGGCCCACGTCGTGGCAGCGAACGCCCTCGTGTCGAGATGTTGCTTGAGCAGGATTTGACTGGTGACCTCTTCGGCGGCGCCCCTTCTGTCAGAAAGGAAGCCAACACATTCCACTACCAGTGGGACGGTCCCCAACCGCTCGTGCAGCGACTGCGCGCTGCTACCAGGGACTCTCGACCAAGGAGGGCGTCGGTTGCGGAGCATGGTGTCAGATTGAATATTGGCCCCAGAACCATGCCGAATGCCGAGGCCCGGAATTACATTCCGCACGTTGCTTTTCCGCATGTGTGGGAGTCTCCGTGATCATGGAAGGGACGCGAGAGGAGCCAGTGTTCTTCTGGTGAGGAAGGGTCGCACCGCTTGCTTGATGGCATGGGCAAGTTACTGTTTGCCGGATTGCTTGCAGTTCACGGTGCTCTGATGATGGAGCCTGAGTTTCGCTACAAGTTTGTAGAGCCCCGTTGCGCGTGACGCCAGAAAGAGGGACAGACAAAAATGCATGCTGCAGAGCCTTGAGAGCGCGTATGCTAGGCTAGCACGCCGACACAGCTCCTGCCTGTTTGCAAGTGCCACGAGAGGGCCTTTGATGACAGACTGTGGGCACGCTGGTGTCCAACCAAAGCAACACTTCGAACACTCTTTCGGAGGCGCTGGAATGGTGACACGTTCAGGGTTTGGGGTCTAGGGTTTTGGAATGGTGACTCATCCCTTATCTTCACACCCCGAAGGATTGGACACTCACAGACTTGGACAAGGACGCAACGACAGAGGCACCACCTTCGGAGATCGCTTGATGTTGAGGGCCGGATCGTGAGTTTCGGACGGGCTTCGTAGTTTGCTTCGTGTTTCGGGAGGTGAAGGGTTTTTTTGGGACCTCCAGGCCCAGTGTTCGGACAAGAGAGCGGCACAAGGCCGGAGGAGCCGATTTGCGCTTCGGGCAAGAAGTGAAACCTCGAAGATCGGTTTAAAGCCCAATAGTTTGAGAGGACGTAAACAAGGCAACCTGACTTGCTAAGATTCTCTCCCCCAAACCCCTAAACCTGGGACCTCAAACCCTCCTGCTTGGCTCGTCCAAGTGTGATCTGCTACACCCGGCCAGAAAGTCCCAAAGCAAGAGCAGAACAATTCCTGGGGCGAGGGCCGCTAGCGCTAGCACAAAGCTAAGCTCCTATTACCACCTTTCACCACCTTTAGTATCCCCGATAGTAGTCCCCGAACCCTGAACCCTAATGCAGTAGTCCCCCATAGTGATCCCTTTGTTATTTGTGAGCCCCTTTTTAAGGGCTTTACGGATCCAACTCACATGAGCCCTGCTGCCCCCAAGCCGGAGAGACAGAGACTCGGAAGGTCGGGCTGATCTTCCTGGGCCGCGCGATGCAGCACTGGCTGGAGGACGGCAAGGTCCCAATACTCAGATTTTTTGGGGTTTAGGTTTTAGGGTTCAGGGTTTAGGGCTTCTTGGGAGCCTCTTCAGATTTTGTATAAAGCCTCGGTTCGGGGTTGGGCTTCGGAATGGTTTAGGAGTTCGGTTTCGGTTTCGGCCCCTATCCCTAAAGCCCGAAACCCCTAAACCCTGCCAGGCTTGTCCGAGTGTGAGCGTCAAAAAACCCTTAAACCCGCCCATAAGCCCTAAACCCTAAAACCCTATGTAAGACCCTAAATTTCCTAAAGCCTATCCCGCCAGGCACAGCCCGGTCACATCCTGGCGGTGCTGAACCCGCGGCTCTCCTGCCGCGCTGGGGTGCGGGACCTGTCTTTGAGTTGTGCAGGGCAGTTTAGGCTTTGAGGGCTTCAAATTTTCAGAAGGTTTAGGGGTTTTATGGGTTTACGCTTTGAAGGTGTGAGGGTTTTGGGGTTTAGGGGTTTTGGGGTTTAGGAGTTTAGGGTTTGAAGGTTTGAAGGCTTAGGAGTTTAGGCTTGGAAGGTGTGAGGGGCGGTTTAGGGGTTTTGGGGCTTTCGGGTTTTAGGGTTTAGGCTTTGAAGGTTTGAGGGTTTAGGAGTCTGGGGTTTTGGGATTTTGGGGCTTTAGGGTTTAAGGTTGAGGGTTTGAGGGTCTGGGAATGCGGCGAAAGTTTAATTCAGACAGTGATCCAAGAATGACCTGCGCCCCCACATAAGCCTGCACAGTCATTGAACGCCCGGCCGACCTCCAGCCCCGATAACTGCTTCGTGCGTCTTACGAGTTACAACCGTGGATGATAGAAATCCTGCATTACCCACAATAAGGAAGATGCCATAAATTCCCATAGTGTAGCGTCCTTATAAGGTACTGCAGGGTTTAAAAATCATCAACGGTTGTATGTCCTGCAGTTACGAACAAGGGCCTCTGGTGATGGTGCTCTCCTCCTGGGTTCTGGAAACGCTGTTTCTAAAAGGGTTCAGGGCTTCAACGTTAATTGCAGGTCTAAGTCCCAAACCTAAACTTGAAAACCCAACAGCCCGAACTCCAAAAACCCAGCAGCAGCCCAAGCTGCTGCAAATCCCAAACCAACCAGGTCCCCAACCCTCAACCCTAACACCCTAAACCCTAAACCCTAAACCCCTAAACCCTGAACCCTAAACCCTAACACCCCAAAGAACTTGTCCCACGTCGCTCCGAACCGCAGCTGTTTCTCAGAGCCGGGCCATCCTCCTCTAGGGCGGGGGGCCCGGGGCGAACCGGCCATGGACGACTCCTTCCTCCCAAAGCGTCTTATAGGCCGGTTTAGGGTTTAGGGTTTGGGTTTACGGGTGGGTGGCCGGGTTGATCTAGGGAGAAAGTCAGAGCGGGGAGTAAACGTATCCGTAGAACCCAGGAACTTGGAACCCCAAAGCCCCCAAAGCCTCCGAAGCCCCAAAACCCTAAGCCCTAAGCCCTAAGCCATGAGCCTGATGCTCTTCAGGTAAAGCACTAGCCTGCTAAGTCCATGTTCCAGCCTTCTGGGGGGTTCACCCTAGGTAGTTTACCTATTGTAGTTCCTTTTCAGGTTACCTAATATACGACAATAACCATACAACTGGTTAGGTACTTGTATTCAAAACCCTAAACCCTGAACCCTTCGTCCTTGCTAAGTAGGAGGCAAAAAAGACCCTAGTAGGTTTCAGGCTTCAGGGCTGAGGGTTTAGGAACCAGAGACTCTGCGCCAAGGATCGGGGGATGTGAGAAGGGCTGGGGTTCTTCGATCTTCGCGGTCTTCGCGGAGTGTAGGGGTTTTCAAGGTTTAGGGTTTAGGGTTCCTTAAACCCTAAGCCCTAATAGTTCAAATCTGTGCGAAGTAGGAGGCCAAAAAAATCCAAACCCTAAGCCCTAAACCCTAAACTTGCCCTAAATCCTAAAAGCCCCAGGCCCTAAACTTGACTTGCCCTAAACCCTAAAAGAATCAACCCTGAGCCCTTTCCAGCCCTTTCCGCAGGCTTCCAGGACTTGCCGAACGTACCAGACTCGGAGGACCGCTTGCGGCTTTGTTAGTTTTTTGTTTCAAGGTTTCAGATATTTTAGGGTTCAGGGTTGAGGGTCATATTTTTTTGTCTTAGGGGGTCAGGATATTTAAGGGTTTAGGGTCTAGGGTGTGGGGTTATATTTTATTTGTGCAGCTTTTGGGTTTATGTAGGTTTTCACCAGATGGTCAGCAGGGTTTAGGGTTTTGGGAAAGAAGCAGCAGCGGCAGCAGCATTCCTTCATACTTTGCCAGTGCCGAAGGCTTCAATCTGTTCATTGTCAGTCCCTCTGTTCCTGGGGCTTCAGGGTTTATGTAGAGCTACAGGGGTTTGTAGGGTTTAATAAGGTTTAGGGCTGATACAGGGTTTAAGGTTTTGGGTTTCAGGTTTTCGAGCAAACAAGAGACACCAGAGTCCCGGCCAAGCCAAGTTGCTACTGTAGGGGAAGTTGCTTGGAGCACCAGGATTGGCTACTTAGCTAAACCCTACACCATAACCCTAAACTCAGCTAAACCCTAAACCCTAGACCAGGGGTTCACATGAACTCTGAACCTGAACCCAAAGACTCCACGCCAAGAGCCCTATGCCCTGAGCACCAAACCGGAAAATTGTAAATCCCAAGTAGAAGTTTAGGGTTTAGGGTTTAGGGTTTAGGGTTTAGGAAGTCCTAGCAGAAACCGCTATAGTTGAACCTTCCGGGAAAGAGACAAAGAAACGCCGAACCTCAAACCAAAAAGACTGAAGTCGAACCTTTTTCCGAACCCTTCAAGGAGCTTACCCCAAACCCTAAACCCTAAACCCCAACCCCTTAACTCTACACCCTAAACTTGAACACTCCAACGGTATCCCTGCGGTGCGACTTTGTCCGCTGGGCGGGTGGGAAAGAAGCCCTAAACTTGGAGAACCGAAGCAGCGCTCAAGGAGCCATCGCTTCCCGGGTCGAACGCCCCAAGCCTGTTGCCTCTTGGGACGAATCCAAAAAAGGCACATTTTCCCACGGCTTCGGCTTGGAGCTTTGTGCGGGTTGTTGCTTAGGGGTTTCGTGTAGGTTTAGGGTTCAGAGTTTGGGGTTTAGGGTGCGAACGTACAGAGGCAGAGGATTTTTGTTTACGTCGCTTCGCAGGGCTTGGTTAGAGGATGGTTTGTGAGGGAAGCCGGTCCTGCCCGCTGACATTGTCATGAAGAGCCTGGATTCAAAACACGTTTAGGACCGGGTCTCCCGAAAAACTACACCCTAAACCTTAAACCTTAAACCCTAAACCCTAAACCCTAAACCCATTAAGGCCTTGCAGGTTCCTTGAGCATTAGTGAGTGAACGTCTGGTGGCATCTTGGTTCAGGGGTGTGAAGTAAGATTTGGATCTTCGGTGAGGCCCGCATGGGTTCAGGAAGGGTCAGTTTTTTTAAAGTGGTCCTAGGGTTTGAGATTATCAGGGTACCATATTATTAGGGATCCTATTATTTTGGGGTCCCCTATTTGCGGAAGCCCCCGGGTTTGAGCGGGTTGATCTGCTTAGGGAGTAAGGTTTCTGACGAGTCCGGGCTTGAAGCTCGGTCTCCAGGCTGTTTGGGGATTTTTGGGACGGGAGCGCATGGGTTCGGATTTTAGAGATGCGGGCTTGAAGTTATTTGGGGGTTTCCGAGAATAGGGGGCCCCAATATAGCACCTTAAATGGTAGTATCCTAGCACCCTAAATAGTAGGATCCTTATGATATCCTTATGATAAGGACCCCAAAATAAGGTACCCCTCATTTTCTTCATTGCCTCCAGGCTTAGAGCCATTTGCCGTGACCGCCTCTGCTTGAACCTGGCACCCCCGACTCCGAAGCACCAAAGACAAATGCCCAAAGCCCAAACCCGGGAGCCTTTAGAAGCCCTGCACTCTGAATCCGAAATCCTAAACCCTAAACCCTAAACCCTAAACCCTACACTCTAAATCCTAAACCCTAAACCCTAAACCCTGAACCCTAAACCCAAAACCCTAGATCATCCATATAAACCTCAAGCTCTGCGCCCTGAGCCACCGCTCTGCTCTCCCCCGCAGTGGAGCTTTTCGGGGTTTCTAGAGAAACATAACTCACCAGGTACCTCCTTTTAGGGCCCTTGGCTCTAGTACCCTATATAGTAGGTACCTGGGGGGTTAGGGAAACATACAGCATTTCGCCGAAGGCATCGTTTGGGGGTTGAGGGATGTCGAGGCGTTGAGGTTTAGGGGACGGTCGTCGAAGCTGCTTAGCGCAGACTTTTACATTGATTTCGTTCCTTCAAGGGACAGCGCCTAGAACCTTGAATCCTAACCCCTGGGACTTATAAACCCTAAGCCCTAAGCCCTAAGTCCTAAGCCCCTAAGCCCTAAGCCCTTAGCCCTAAGCCCTACCTTACACACTACAGCCACAAAGCGTCCATCTACAAGTACAGAAGCCAAGGCCACCCACTGGAACGCACAGTGGGGTGCTTACCGGATGCCTGACGCTGGGCTTTAGTGAGTTAGAGACCATAGTGTAATCCATGGCAATGGGGAAAGCATCCAAAGGTGATGTACATGAAACCCTAAACCCTAAACCCGATGCCGTAAACAACATACATACAGACATACGCGCACACGCACAAAGAGTCTGCCTGGTATTGCGCTGTAAGCCCCTAACCCCTGCCCCCCAGATTCGTTAGAACTCAATGCAAACGTCTCTGCCGGAGAAGAGCCCCTAAGCCCATAAACGCCTAAACCCCTAAACCCCTAACCGCTAAACCCCCAAACTCTAAACCCCCACTCAACCCCTAAAACCTTTAAACCTCTAAGCCTTAAGCCCTAATGCCAAGAGCCTTAAATCTTACAGCCCAGGAAGCCCCCCTCGGCCGAGCCCCGACCTCCGTCTTCCCTGGGTCCACAAACCCTCGGCCCGGCGCCCACGAGCCACTCGGACCACATGAACAAGGGCTGCTGTAAGGGTTTTAGGGTTTTAGGGCTTAGGGTTTTTAGGGTTTCTGGTTTTAGGGTTTAGGGGTTTAGGGTTTTGGGGTTTTAGGGTTTTAAGGGGCTTGGGGTTTTGGGGTTTTAGGGTTCAGTGCTTAGGGCTGTAAGTACGACAGAAGTGCACCCTAAATAAGACGCAGCCGAGGGGATGCTACCACATAAGGGTGGGGTACCGCATGGGCTACTGGAATGGGGTACCGGACAATCAGGGTGGCAACAGTAGTAGTGTGCCCGTCCGGTTGGGACACCCAGTTCATGGGTCATTGTAGAAAAAACCCGCGCTTCCCGATGCGGTGTGGGGATTCTTTTAGAATTCTCAACAAGATGGCAATCGTGCTCCAATCCTAAGCCCTCAACCCTAAATCCTAAGCCCTTTGGATGCCAATCGTCTCGCCGGTTTGGGGCCTGTGCTGGCAAAATCGGATGTCTCGGACGATGACGCACCCTGATTGCAGTTCCTGTCGGCGCAAAACAGTTGGATGCTGTGCGAAAAACCAAGACAAATGGGAGCCCTTATAGCAGCCTTTGTAGTTCCCACTGTCATAAACAGAATTGCTGTTTATAAATGGATATAAAAAATATATAGTACCTCCTATAGCACCCCTTCAGGGCCCAGCCTCGCAGGCGATGTGGGGCCCTCCGTCTCCGGAGATTTCCGGAACGTGCTGGAAAAGGTTGGCCCCGGGATTTCATAGGCCTTATTTCGGGTTCAGGTCAAGTTTGGTTCAGGGCATTTAGGGTTAAGAGTTTAGGGTTTGGGGTTTTAGGGTCTAGGGCTGCAGAATTGCTTGGCCCTCAGTTTTCTTTCCCGTAGCAATAGGCCTGGATGCAAAAAGGCTTTAGGGTTCATGCAGGATTTTAGGACGTCACAACTGAGGCTGCATCTTCTTTACCGTCAGGAAGGGGGGCTTGGGTGCGATGGAGGGATGCAAAACATCTCCAAATTTTACCCGGCTCTCACAGGCTTTGGCAAAGAACGAGCTTCTTTGCCTTGTGGGTCGTGCCTCTTTTTTTGGGGCGTGTCAACTGTGCTGCCCACGGCCTAAGCTTCTATATACTACTATAGAAGGACACGAACTGTGTGCGTGCTGCTGTAGGCTTGAACGGGAGTTTGCGCCTCTGACACGACTGATCCTGCAGGTGGTCCAGCAGCATCTGCAAGATATGGAAGCTGGGCCTAACCCTAATCAGCCTAAACCCTAAACCCTAAACCCCATAGGCCCACCTAAGCATCATTGCCCAGGCCCCGAATCCATAATCGTCACCCCCACCCTAAACCCTCAACCCGAAGCCCTAAAGTCGAAACCCTAAACCCTCGACCCTCAAGCCTCAACCCCAAACCTCAACCCTCAAGCTCGGACGTTGTGAAGCCATGCCTGCCTTGCGCGAGAGTGTGAGTCGAAGCCCTAAAGTCGAAGCCCGAAAACCTCAACAAGCCGAGGCGGACCTCGAGAACAGGGTGCGGATGGCCATGGAAGTGGAGCATCACCGGCCAGAGCCCCAAAACGGGGTTCAGGGTCCAGATCCCCAGAAGAATCCCTATAAGGAGCTTGAGGGATGCCTAGAAGGATCGCTAAACGAAATCCTTCAAAGGATCCCCCCCAAAAAAGGAACCCCAATAGGATCCCCTAAAGGAATCCCTAAACCCTCAACCCTAAACCCCTAAACCCTAAACCCTTTCAGCTTCCTGGTGGTGATGCTCACCTGGATTATGATGGCGCGGAGGACGGATAGCGTTGGGGGTCGACCGAGTGGGAGTCCCGGTAGCCTGCCCAATATGGGCTTCGAAGCGCAAGGAACGAAAAAGGCCCTAAAAACAAAAACCTAAAACCCCTAAATCCCTAAACCCCTAAACCCCTAAACCCCAAACCCTAAACCCTACCCCTAAACCCCTAAACCCCGAAACCCCCAAGCCCTAAACGGGGCTCCTTCGACCGAGGTCTCTCTCCTCGGAGTCCAACGACGATGACAACGAGGGGCTCAAGAGCCCGGAGGCCGCAGGGGTTGAGGGTTTAGGGTTTAAGGGTGTAGGGTATAGGGTTTAGGGTTTAGGGTTTAGGTTTGGTTAGGGTTGAGGGTTCAGTTGGGGTTTGGTTAGGGTTGTAGTTAGGGTTGAGGGCTCAGTTAGGGTTTAGTTAGTGTTTAGTTAGGGTTCAGTTAGGAATTAGTTAGCTTTTTGTTAGGGTTTATCAAGGGTTTAGTTCGGGTTGAGGGTTTGGGGTTTGGGACTGAAGAGCCCAGAGGCCCCGGGGGGGTTTGGGGTCTAGGGTTTAGGGTTTCGGGCTTCTTGG